ACGGCTGCATATGTGTACTCATATATCCATGCAGCATCACGGCCGCTTCATACCAATCCCTTCGCTTCATAATTTGCTTAGCAAATGAATCGATTAGAGCGTCAGGAACGGTCGTCCATTTGTGGGCGGGCGGGCGTGGCGGGCGTTTGGGTCGGAATGTTGTGGCTTGATAGGGCCCTTATAAGGGCACCTTCCTTGGAAAAGGCATTATGCAGCGCCTGCTCAGGGTCGCGGAATTCCGTCCTGCCAGGCGTATTAATCCTACTCGTCTTGGGGGATTTATCGTGCCAATTGCAGTGTCGCATTCTTTTGGCATGACACCGCTTGGCGCCAAATTACCCAATTGACCACACTGAATGCGAACTAGTCCCCAAAGGTAGTGAACTTAAAATCAAGGTTGCAGCAGAAGGTCGGGGGGGGGTGCACTTCACGAGGTGGCCTCGCCTACACTGTCCGCCGACACGCTTCTCTTGCTAAAGCGGAGCCCTAGCGAACATGAGGATCACACGACTTTATCGACATTGCTCAGAGCTTTCGTTGCGGAGAGGCACATTTTTAGGCAACCTTTACACAGCCCTCCAGGAATATGCGCTACACCTCGCTGATTCCGGTGGTGTGGGTGCGTGAAAGTTTGCGGCACAGCGTTTGTGATATAGCAATCTACATCAGAGTGACTTACAGTCCTCATCATTACGGACTGTCGGGGCGGCACAGCCGCGCTGCAATGTGACGCGACAGCGCGGCTCGGTGACGGCGAATCAGCTGATTTCCATGGAATTCGGCTGCGAATTCCCACTTTTTCAACTCTTCGAGCTTCGAAAGTGGAAGGTTATTTTGAGCAATTTTAAATTGTACTGACTCTGAATGAATCTGAATGTAAGCCATTTGAATAAATGCCTGAAATAAGGCAAAATACAAGGAAAAGAGCATATAATCGACATAAAAATAAAGGAAATCAGAGCCAGTACAATTCAAAATTGTTCAGAATAACTCACCTTCCACTTTAGAAGCTTGAAGAGCTGAAAAAGTAGGAATTTGCAGCCGAATTCCATCGAAATCAGCTGATTCACCGTCACCGAGCCGCAGCCGCTGTCGCGTCACAGTGCAGCGCGGCTGTGCCGCCCCGACAGTCCGTAATGATGAGGACTGTGGGCGCATTTTCGTGGCAGCCGCGCATACAGCGACTAAGTCCTTTGTTCACATGCGTCTTACAGCAGGCCCACCGAGCCAGCGCGTAACGCGATTGCCGCCCCTGAATCTGCGTGGACTGTTCCTATGAAGAGAAATTGTGCACTGACTGACGCGGATCCTGATCCTCTTGCATTGTGCCAGGCGAATACATAGGGCCGTAGCTGCAAGAGCGTGCTGCTTTCTTCGCTCAGAAACGCTCGGGAACGGGTCTGAAGGGAAATGGTACCCGTACCATTTCCGTATTTCTCACCCGCCGCCCTGCGGCACGAGCCAGCCACCAGTAATAACGCGCCTACTTGTCTGCCCCACATCTCACTCTCTGTTTATTCTTCACGGCTGGACTATGGTGTTTCGCTGCAGGTTCTCGGTATGGACCCAGGTGCTGTACCCGGAAGGGAGGGTTTGTAGGCCCTTACCAGCCGTGGGCAAGTTTTCTTTTGAACTTTATTTTGCAATGCGATCTCGTACACCTTATCGATAATCTTTATTTTTATCACCTTGGGTGATAATGTTTAACCCGAGTATGATTAGTATTTCCGAGTGGTTTAGAAGTGTATGTTCTCCGTTTTGGTATTAGAGTAATGCTGACTATCTTTTCTTTTCTATGGTCTTCCTATTTAATGCCGTCTACCCGCAACGAATGCGCTGTGACTTCGTACATGTTGACGATCGTTGTTACGCGATTTGGAACGATTTCGATCTGGAAAAAAATGTTTTTGACTATTTGCAAAAATTAAGGAGTACATATGGGAAGAGCAATGAGGGGCATAGGCAGCGTTCAACCTTCACAATGAGGCACGTGGACGCGCCACGACGCACTACCGCTTCAATGACGCTCCAGACTGCCTTGCGTTTTGATAGAGGGCGTTGCTACCTTCACGCAGTCTGCTACTCATCCATATCCTTCCCTCCCCCTCCCGCCCCCCCCTCCCCACGTACTCTCTCAGATCACAAGCGGCCGGCGCTGATCGATAATCGTCTGCGGCTGCGACCGTCTTCAGCATTGGAGCGCCGTTGCAATGGTAGCTCGTCGACGCGCGTTATAACTAAGTCTGAACGCTCTCAGATTTAAATGTGGAGCAGAGCAGGGCACAGAGCGGTTCAATATTTTGTTTTGCGCTGTGCAGTTAGCCGTCCTTCAGAGCCGCAGAAGCATTGGAATGAGCGTTTTTTCCGTGTAATCGCACCGGAATACGATTTCAATGCATCCATAGATGCCATGCAGAAGTCCATACACGGCACGCTGCGTGTGAGATCCTTTAGCTCTGTGAGGTAAAGAGCTAAGGCGCCGAGCTGTTCTAGCGACACCTCCCTTTTCCCAGTTGCTCCGCCTCCACACTACGTCTCTGTGGTCTGCCCTCCAGCGGAAAACGCTGCTCCTAATAGAGGTGAGATTAAATAAGATTGTTGCATTCAGGTGATCCGGTAGTGATCGTATCCCAGGCTGAACTCACTGCCCAGCGTCACCCGTAAGGATCACATTTTCAACGGTGACATACGCTAGAAAGTTGCTGTAGACTCTGTAATTGATGAAGGGTGCCAAAGTCGTCTTTATAGTTGGGACCATGAAATTTGAGCCCAGGAACAGGTCTTCAATTCAAGATGCTCGAAAATTACCCTAAAGAAAGTCCGACAGCTCTGACTCGACACCCTGCCTGCGAACTTGAAGATTGTAGGTTTCTTACAGATCAGGCAGCTAATAGTAGGAGTGACGTCACAAGTCAGAAGAAAGACCCTATGGACGTTTAGGGAAAAAAATTTGAACTCACTCCAGTTGCTACTCCTCTCTCTTGACCGAGGTCGTCGTTCACGACTTCTCGACCGACTTCGTCGTTCCCATCGACCGTATCGTGGTGCACTGGCTGATCGTGCTCGTCTTGCATCTGCAGTCGCTATTCGTGCCAATGCGTCTGCCTGTATGTTTCTTGGTGTAAACTGACATCTCGCTGAGGTGTGAGATATGTGGCGTAACGGGACTAGCCGAGGTGCAAAATGGGCGCTGTTTGTCGACGGGGGGGGGGCATTTTGCATTATCATTGCTTCCCTAGTTCCGGTTTACAAATCTCACTCTTGTGAACTCTTGTGAAGCTGAAGTAAGATCGTCTAGCCACTATCCTAAAACGTGTCAACTCGAGAAACGGCTGCCTAGATGGGTCGGCGCATGCAAAAT